GCTAAAGTTGGAATGGTGGCTCGTTGTAGTACTATGGGTTTACTGTTTGTAAGTGCGCTGACCTCTAGCTTATTAAGCGATGCCCGACCTTTTAAGAGATGTTAAAAATGTGGCGATAATAGCTATCTAATGGTAACTTAACTATCCAAAAAGATTGCGATATTTGGAATTGGGATTTGGTTGTCTAGAGCCCATATAACAGTATAGTGGATTGCCATTACTTCAGTGTGAATGATTTGATGATCAAAGCAAAGTGCTAAGACAAACAGCGTTATATAATCAGCCAAATTGCAGTAAATTAACTAAATTTTCGTTGTTGTCTTTTTATTTATATTCGAACCCTTCTAAAACAAATAACGTTTCCAACCTGATTTTTAAATCTTGTGTATTATATACTCAACCACAACTACTACAAGCTGGTACAGGACATTACAGAATATTTTATGTTACATTAAATAAATTTCTTTACAAAAACAAAAAATACTAACAAATCTTTGTTAACATGAGCTGCTTCCAAATTCTAAAGGACATTCAGACACAATAGAAAGTATCATAAAAATGTAACAATATAAAACAGCTCATACAGATACATTCAGATATACTTAAAAAATTATTATATAAAGTACATAAGATGGAAGATAAAAATTTATTAGAATAAAAGCAAAAAAATTTGAAAGCATTTTCTGTCATTTTTGTCTGAATTTACGCACAATGCAACTTAAAAAATGATCCTTACTGCACCAATTTACAAGGATACGAAAATAATAAGCACACATACCGATATACACTACTGTAGATATATGGTATTTGCATATATACGAGTATCTCGTATAGGAGCAATTTGCTAACAACGTTTTTCCCATAAGTGCGTTTGCGTCAAAGTGATTGATAATGGTCACCCAGTCACATCTCGGAAGATTGAGTGAACTATGCTGGAAGGCTGATGAATAAATTTGCCGCTGTAATACGCCCACACGTCAGACATGAAAAGTACAAGGAATTCATGTGAGTTATCAGTAACAAACCCACCATTATAATGAATTTTTATTTTAGTAGAACTGAAAAAGGATTGCATGCATATGATTTTATTAACAAAACAACACAAAAATAAAAAATAAGAAGTAAAAAAGGAAGAGAAGGATATTTATAAATGCGTGTGAATTATTTCATGAAATTATTTTTGCTTTTAAAGCTTAATTTTATTTTTATGGCACAAATATTTTATATTGAATTTTTTTTAATAATTATATTAAATCAGTTACTCACTAAAATATATAGTGAAAAATTCATTCAAGCTCAGCAAGGACCTTTCCAAAAGCAGTAAAAATTGTCTGTTAGGAATGTCTGTTTCGGTATTTCACATATAATACAGAAGCAGTACATAGCATTAATATTTTTTTTATACATTAATAGTAATAAAATAAATGTAAATATAAGATATAAAAAACGATCGAATAACTTTAGTATGACGGAAAAAATCAAATTTTTTATACAAAATTTTATTTCACTTTTATGGCAGTCATAATAGTTTAAGCGAAGGATGGTTTGTTTTTAAATCGAAAAATGTTATGAAAACATTTTTAAAAGCATTAATTTTAATAGGATCAACTTTTTGTATACAAAAACGGAATCTAGTATTAAATATTGTATAATGGCCTATGACAGACTCAAGCGGGAAAACACAATATCAGGATAACATTTTTATATGAAGAATTTTTAAAAATAATTTAAAAGCTTTTGTATATTTTCTAAATATTTATAAATAGAAAAATAATATATTACTGCATAAAATGGTATTATACAAAATTTTGAATAATTATGCAGGTACGTATATTATAATATTATTATTATTTACAAAATAAATCATGCACTTAGTCTATTCACAAATAGTTCGTACAAATTCTTTACGTTCGTCCCTATTTGTACCTGAAATACGTTTTTTGTGTTTTATTAACTAATTTCCTACGCCAAATAGTTTTCGACCTGTCTTCTCACTCCTTTGGAGTTCCATTCCATGATAACATCAGCAATCGCATCCGGTTTTCTCAATGTGTGACCTAACCATCCATATTTTCATTGTAAAATTTTTTTTATGGGTTTCTGATTGGTACTACGCCCCTATAATCTACATTTAAAATTCAAGCAGATAATATGTCGCAGATTTCTAATTACACCTTATGAACCAACGATCTAGTTACCGACCACTTCTCACAGTCATATAGCAAATTAGATTCCACACATGTGTTGAAAATTCTAACCTTTGTCTCGATATGCACGTTATTAGCTTTCCAAACCTTACTTAACATCGCAAAGATACTTTTCGCTTTCTTTAAACGCTTGTCTACATCAATCATCGCTGCTTACCATACTTTCAAAGTATTTCAACTTCTGAACATATTTGATATCTTGGCTATTTAGTGAAAGAGTTGATATATTACCTGCTTTGACTCTCATTGATTTAGTTTTCGAAAAATTGATATTAAGCCCTATTCTGGCTAATTGCGTGAAAACATTATTTATCAAAGCTTGCATGTCTGTTTGTCTACTTCCTATAGTAGTATGTTATCAGCACACTCGAAACGTTCAAGCTCTTGATTGGCGTTTCTTCGACCGATTCCAGGATGATATTAAGAGCTGTTATAAACATAGTGGGAAAAGAGCATAGCCTTGCCGCACACCATTATTATATTGCATATGGGAAACTTTGCTGGTGGCCCCTTCATAGCTTTTCTGAAGGATATTAATCATTTTCCTGTTAATACCAAATTCCGAATATTACATTGAGCAAATCTAGTCTTTTTAACGTTCCTTAAGTCGTCAACCATTTCATCAGTGAAATTGAAATACACGATTTTATTTCAACTTAAACGATAACATTTTTTTTGAAGATTCGTGGAATCTAAATACAAAAACAAAACAAGAACTATTAAAAATAGATAAGTAATTACTGCAGAGTTCTCAGAATTTCATAAGTCTTTCGTTACTGTACTCCTAATTTCATCAGACAGGTTAATTCAATAAAACTTTTCACGGAATATAATTTTATTATTGATCACTGCGGCACAGGACACAAATAATAAAAATTATCAAAATATTTTTTATAACTTTTCAGTTACTAAGTAGCTTAGAAATACACACAGGTAGCCAATAACTTATTTAACCGCACATCATTTTAAAAATATCTACTATTTATTAGAAGTAAAGAAATAGTTGTTTCATCAGACAGGTAAAAATGATCTAACTTTATTTAGAATTTTATGACATCCTACAGATATATAAGTTAGCAAAAAACTGCTAACATCAATCATTCCAGATCTGAAATTTATTGCGATAAATTCGTTAGAGAAACACTTTAAATCTAATATTCACAGCAATTACTGTCAAGTTCAACTTTTTATTTAATATTAAATTGTAAAGTATTGTTAAAAAATGGATTTTGCTTACTCCAAAATTGGTTCTCAAGAAAACATTCCGAGTTTCACTTATAGTGGGTACAGTCCACTTACTACAGAATTACATCATCGCTCGCAAACTAATCCAGTTGAAGTATTTAATTGCCAAACTTCATACAATATCAGTCAACACATGGATCCATATGGAAAACATTATCATGGAAATAACAAACAAGTCAACCTAGGACTGACAGCAGAGGAGAAGGACAGATTACAAATCATTGAAGACAAAGGCATTGATACTTTAGTGATGAGTAACGACAACGTCGGTCTAGAAAATAAGGAGTTTTTATTGAATGCAGCCACTGAATCGCTTCCATCGATGTTACGCTTGTTATTCGTCAAAACCAATAGAATTCAGTTAAGAGGCGAACTCTATGCTAAAATGGACACCTTCAATTTTGTAGTGGAAAGTACTGAGTTAAATATTAACCACCATTTCGATATTCCCGAGAGCGTTGAAATGTTATTCATGTTGCTATTGGAAAAGGTGAAGATGTTGATGTGCTCATTAGGGTATATCGATGTGAGTGACTTTAAAGTTCAACGTATAAAGGTCAATATAAAAATGGATCGTTCAACTTCCAAAAACTGCATGCAAAAACTATCATTACCTTTAAAGTATCGCGTTAAAAATGCAGCATATGATATCGATCCAGAACAGCTGAAATCTGAACATCCGAAGAAGGAGAGTTGTGATCTTGACTCAATAACTTCCATTTATAAGCATTATAAATTAACTGGGGATGGAAATCAATTGCTTAACTTAAGAGCAATAGATTTGTATTGCTTTAAATTGTGCCACACTTCTGCGGAAGTTTACACAGAACCTTTTTATCTTACGTCGCCTATTGGTGTGAAAGAAAATCGCAGCTTTATTATACTTGAAGACGTACTTGGCAATTTTCAACGTTTTATGGAAATAACGAACCCTCTTCGTTTTGCAAACGTTGAAAATCCAACCGATCCGGTTACTTGTATAAAATGTAATACGCATTACGCTCAATTGGTCCAATTGGAATTACATCAACGTTTGGAGTGTGGCGATGATTTTGAAATATATGAACTGGACAATAACTATGATGAAGAGAGCGATCCTAATCAATTCGAAATTAAGACTACATTTGAGAAATGGATGCTGTTCGGAGTCAAGAATAATGAAAATGTTTAATTAGTAAAAAATTGTATATTCACGAAAATTTTGTAGACTATATAAAAAAATATTATAAAACATTCTGTAATTACTTTAAATTAATAAATTATTATTACGAAATAATTATTAAAAACGAAACTATAGTTTTTTCTATTTCGCAACTACTCTACTCTAATCTGCCACATTACAGTAACAAATAATTAATCCCAGTAAAAATCGTAAAAATATTTGATTAATGAAAAATACGGTCACTTTACTTTTAAAGAATTGGACTTTTTGAAAAAATGCCTTTTAGTTTTCTGGATAGAAAAATATTATTGATATAGAAACCTAGAAAGAGCAAAAGCTTTTATTCAATCGAATTTTTTGTGAATCTTTTAATTAATTGTGATACTATATAAAAATATCAAATGTATGTGTAAAATACTATATGTATGTGGTATAATTTTCTTTTAAAGAAAAAGGCTTACCAACATGCATTGATGCATGATTTGATTAAGGTGCTGGTTTTGGAAGATTTTAGCTTTTCAGGAAGTCAGTGTGTGCCAAGTGATCAGATTCTTAAGGATTGTTCATTAAGTTGAATACGACTAGAGACTTTGTCTTGCATGGCGTGCTTTTTAAGGTCCCGGAATTTTACACTTTAAATCATTGCAGCTTGTGTCTGCTGGTCCTGATAGCTTATATTTATTTATCTAATTATCGACAAACTACTTTTGAAGTTTGTGTCAGAAGAATGGAAATATAGCAACTTTTTAACTTGATACTGATATAATGCAGCGAATCGTGAATAAAATAGTACTTAAAGGGACTTTACTGGAGTCATCAAGTTGAGGAATTACTAACCGCACTTGATGCACGAGACTTGAGAAGGTGCCTACGCAGTAGAGGGTTAGATTTGTTATTGCCCTGCAACTAAGTATGTGTGTTAGAAACAAAACATATACTATATTTATGACTTTGTATAAAAAATTAGTAATATGTCGAAAAATTGCTAACTTGACACAAACAAAATTACCCATTCCACTTTTTGGCACAATGTTTTGTGTTATAATAGTATATAATAGTAAGTGAAAAAGTCACTACATACATTCCTTACATATAAACCAATATAGAATTTAACGTAAATAATTATTTTTCATTTTTATACATTTTTTTAAGCAGATAAAACTTCATTGATTTCTTGTATAATTTTGTGAGCTTCAAATCAGTGACGTCAAGTGTACTCTCAGTTATCAAAAAGGAATCGTTGATTATTTACCAAAAAACAGTTATCGATGTTCTCTGAGAGCAGTTCGATTTAAGACGTGGCTTTAATCGGTTTGGTGTCGGAAAAAAGTTTTTTTTATTAATTAAAGTGTGTGATATTAATTTATTAAAAAGTAAATAAAAAGTATTCAAACAAATAAAATATAAAATTATATATATTTTACAGTAGAAAAAGTTGCTTGCATGAGCCTAATTTATTAATTTTAAATGCTTAGTGAACTTTAATGGAAAATTCCGATACGTAAATACACCGTAAAAAATAATAGAAAACACATTTTAATTTATAAATTCCTGAAGCATATGTACCTAGTTTATTTTGTGTGTGTAAATATATAGAATATACAATATTTAATACTGAATTAATAATTTGAAAATTTTACACAAATTAAACAAATAGTTATAAAAAAATAATTATTCGAAGTGAATATGCACGCAAAAACAAAAAAACCCAAATTGCAGTTAATGTGACGCTGCGGGCATGCGAACAGCGCAGTAGACATTAGAAAACAAAAAAGTCGCATCGCAGGTGCTTTTTATACGATCATATACGAAGAAGGGTGGAAAAGGAATTTAAAATGACATTTTGTGTTATCAAAATCGTTGAAGTTTTTGTTGTAATAAAAGTAAAAGTGTTTAAGTAAAAAAGTTTATTAAAATGGGATTTAAATTTATTTAACTTTAATTAGTTTTTTATTAAGTGTAAAAAATCTGTGTTCCTATATAAATTTATGTTACCGTGAATATGCCCTATGCCTTAAGGTATGTAATTGTTATTTTTATATTTTAATCTTAATTTTATTTAAAAATATAAGTATATAAGTATTCCTCTTCGATAAACTCGTTTAAAATAGCTTGTAAAAACATAAATCTTATATTTTACAATATCGATTATTAACATAAATTTAATTAGCAAATGGCGATTAACCTTTTGGAACTAATATCACAGACAAAAACATACAGACATTGATTTCATAGCAGCCAGTTCGAGTAGTCAGCTCAAAGCACAAAAGCATTGGATTGTAGAACAATTAAGACGTACAAAAGCTGCGTATAACACAATGATCTTAAGTGTTCGAAACGTACAAAAGAGCTGTTAAATGTGCGTATGAGGTGATGAATATAGTACAGAAATTGTTGCTATATTTTCGTTTCGTTTGGGTTTATATGGAGACTTTTGCTTCTTGAGTTTGTCTTGAGGACAAACAGTGAAATGCAATTTTTTGGTTTTATATATGCAAAATGCTGTTTCTTTTTGAACATTGAGAAAGTTCAATTCTAGCATAGAGTCGCCTCTTGAGGGAAATTCACAATCTATATATTATTTGCCTGTGGAAATGAGAGTTCCTGCATGAAACTTTGAAACTGAAACGATCCTTTATGCCTTTTAATTCAATTACATCGATATAAACAAATAAACACACCTCAAGTAGCTTCGTAGGCGTTTTCTATTGTTTAGTAAATAAGTTCTTATATTTAATCATATAAGGATTAACTTTTTCCTAACTTCTAAATTTGTGTTTTGTCATAATTTCGTTTAATCGCTCTAATGCAACTGTATTTTGGTTTCTTCTGAATAGCTTATCGGGGAGATGTGCAGATCTGAGGTCAGATCTGAGGTTTAGTCTGATGAAACAGCCAAGAGGGGTTATGAAGAAACCTCGCGTTGAGAGAGTGCTCAAATAGTCTCAACATAATCATAATGAAAAAAATTATTTTCATATTTTTTGAAGCTAAAATAAAAATTTTTAGTTTTAAAGGTTATATCCAAAATTGATGATGATTCTTCTCATCAAACAATTTTTTCTAATACTCTTCGGGTTCGAGGTTTGGGGAGTAATTCCAAAATAGTTGTGATAGTAAAATGGTGATAAAATGGTGGATGATAACTCTGATATTAATATCATCCAACTTACTTTAGTGCAGTTGCTGACGAATAAGTTGGTAACAATTTTTTTTTCCATTTAAGCTTTTTCCATACAGATGATGTTATGTTTGGAGTGTCTTGAGATATTATAAAAATAATAAAAATGACTTTTGCATTTTAATGGTATTGTCATGGAATTGACATTGCCGGAATTGTCTTCACTTTTGAAATCTAGAAATGAAATGACCGTCGCTAAGACCGTCAGTATTCGTTGGAATTAGCACGATTTCATTCATTAAAACTATGAACTAAAACTATGAATCTTTCTTTTTCTATACTGACACAATAAAAATAAATATTTCCGATTTCAATAATTATTTAATTAATTAATTTAAAGTAATTACAATCAATCAAAATGTATTATAATATTTTGTTATATAGTCTACAATATTTTCGTGAATATACAATTTTTACTAATTAAACATTTTCATTATTCTTGACTCCGAACAGCATCCATTTCTCAAATGTAGTCTTAATTTCGAATTGATTAGGATCGCTCTCTTCATCATAGTTATTGTCCAGTTCATATATTTCAAAATCATCGCCACACTCCAAACGTTGATGTAATTCCAATTGGACCAATTGAGCGTAATGCGTATTACATTTTATACAAGTAACCGGATCGGTTGGATTTTCAACGTTTGCAAAATGAAGAGGGTTCGTTATTTCCATAAAACGTTGAAAATTGCCAAGTACGTCTTCAAGTATAATAAAGCTGCGATTTTCTTTCACACCAATAGGCGACGTGAGATAAAAAGGTTCTGTGTGAACTTCCGCAGAGGTGTGGCACAATTTAAAGCAATACAAATCTATTGCTCTTAAGTTAAGCAATTGATTTCCATCCCCAGTTAATTTATAATGCTTATAAATGGAAGTTATTGCGTCAAGATCACAACTCTCTTTCTTCGGATGTCCAGATTTCAGCCGTTCTGGATCGATATCATATGCTGCATTTTTAACGCGATACTTTAAAGGTAATGATAGTTTTTGCATGCAGTTTTTGGAAGTTGAACGATCCATTTTTATATTGATCTTTATACGTTGAACTTTAAAGTCACTCACATCGATATAACCTAATGAGCACATCAACATCTTCACCTTTTCCAATAGCAACATGAATAACATTTCAACGCTCTCGGGAATATCGAAATGGTGGTTAATATTTAACTCAGTACTTTCCACTACAAAATTGAAGGTGTCAATTTTAGCATAGAGTTCGCCTCTTAACTGAATTCTATTGGTTTTGACGAATAACAAGCGTAACATCGATGGAAGCGATTCAGTGGCTGCATTCAATAAAAACTCCTTATTTTCTAGACCGGCGTTGTCGTTACTCATCACTAAAGTATCAATGCCTTTGTCTTCAATGATTTGTAATCTCTCCTTCTCCTCTGCTGTCAGTCTAGGTTGACTTGTTTGTTATTTCCATGATAATGTTTTCCATATGGATTCATGTGTTGACTGATATTATAGGAAGTTTGGCAATTAAATACTTCAACTGGATTAGTTTGCGAGCGATGATGTAATTCTGTAGTAAGTGGACTGTACCCACTATAAGTGAAACTCGGAATGTTTTCTTGAGAACCAATTTTGGAGTAAGCAAAATCCATTTTTTAGCAATACTTTACAATTTAATATTAAATAAAAAGTTGAACTTGACAGTAATTGCTGTGAATATTAGATTTAAAGTGTTTCTCTTTCGAATTTATCGCAGTGAATTTCAGATCTGGAATGATTGATGTTAGCAGTTTTTTGCTAGCTTATATATCTGTAGGATGTCATAAAATTCTAAATAAAGTTAGATCATTTTTACCTGGCTGATGAAACAACTATTTCTTTACTTCTAATAAATAGCAGATATTTTTAAAATGATGTGCGGTTAAATAAGTTATTGGCTACCTGTGTGTATTTCTAAGCTACTTAGTAACTGAAAAGTTATATAAAATATTTTGATAATTTTTATTATTTGTGTCCTGTGCCGCAGTGATTAATAATAAAATTATATTCCGTGAAAAGTTTTATTGAATTAACCTGTCTGATAAAATTAGGAGTACAGTAACGAAAGACTTATGAAATTCTGAGAACTCTGCAGTAATTACTTATATATTTTTAATAGTTCTTGTTTTGTTTTTGTATTTAGATTCGACGAATCTTCAAAAAAAATTTTATCGTTTAAGTTGAAATAAAATGGTGTATTTCAATTTCACTGATGAAATGGTTGACGACTTAAGGAACGTTAAAAATACTAGATTTGCTCAATGTAATATTCGGAATTTGGTATTAACAGGAAAATGATTAATATCCTTCAGAAAAGCTATGAAGGGACACCAGCAAGGTTTCCCATATGCAATAGTGGTGTGCGGCAAGGTTTTGCTATTTTCCCCCTATTGTTTAGATTACCTCCTGATACCATCCTGGAATCGGTCGAAAAAACGCCAGCAGACATTAATTGGAGATATAATCAAGAGCTTGGACATTTCTAGTGTGCTGATGACATAGTACTATAGGAAGTAGACAAACAGACATGCAAGCTTTGATAAATAATGTTTCCACGCAATTAACCAGAATAGGGCTTAATATCAATTTTTCGAAAACTAAATCAATGAGAGTCAAAGCAAATAATATATCAACTCTTTCACTAAATAGCCAAGATATCAAATGTGTTCAGAAGTTGAAATATTTTAAAAGTATGGTAAGCAGCGATGATTGATGTAGACAAGTGTTTAAAGAAAGCGAAAAGTATCTTTGCGATGTTAAGCAAGGTTTGGAAAGATAATAACGTGCATATCGAGACAAAGGTTAGAATTTTCAACACATGTGTGGAATCTAATTTGCTATATTACTGTGAGAAGTGGTCGGTAACTAGATCGTTGGTTCATAAGGTGTAATTAGAAATCTGCGACATATTATCTGCTTGAATTTTAAATGTAGATTATTGGGGCGTAGTACCAATCAGAAACCCATAGAAAAAAATTTTACAATGAAAATATGGATGGTTAGGTCACACATTGAGAAAACCGGATGCGATTGCTGATGTTACCATCGAATGGAACTCCAAAGGAGTGAGAAGACAGGTCCGTAATTCCGTTTAATCGCTCTAATGCAACTGTATTTTGGTTTCTTCTGAATAGCTTATCGTGGAGATGTGCAGATCTGAGGTCAGATCTGAGGTTTAGTCTGATGAAACAGCCAAGAGGGGTTATGAAGTAACCTCGCGTTGAGAGAGTGCTCAAATAGCCTCAACATAATCATAATGAAAAAAGTTATTTTCATATTTTTTGAAGCTAAAATAAAAATTTTTAGTTTTAAAGGTTATATCCAAAATTGATGATGATTCTTCTCATCAAACAAATTTTTCTAATACTCTTCGGGTTCGAGGTTTGGGGAGTAATTCCAAAATAGTTGTGATAGTAAAATGGTGATAAAATGGTGGATGATAACTCTGATATTAATATCATCCAACTTACTTTAGTGCAGTTGCTGACGAATAAGTTGGTAACAATTTTTTTTTCCATTTAAGCTTTTTCCATACAGATGATGTTATGTTTGGAGTGTCTTGAGATATTATAAAAATAATAAAAATAACTTTTGCATTTTAATGGTATTGTCACGGAATTGACATTGCCGGAATTGCGTTCACTTTTGAAATCTAGAAATGAAATGACCGTCGTTAAGACCGTCAGTATTCGTTGGAATTAGCACGATTTCATTCATTAAAACTATGAACTAAAACTATGAATCTTTCTTTTTCTATACTGACACAATAAAAATAAATATTTCCGATTTCAATAATTATTTAATTAATTAATTTAAAGTAATTACAATCAATCAAAATGTTTTATAATATTTTGTTATATAGTCTACAATATTTTCGTGAATATACAATTTTTACTAATTAAACATTTTCATTATTCTTGACTCCGAACAGCATCCATTTCTCAAATGTAGTCTTAATTTCGAATTGATTAGGATCGCTCTCTTCATCATAGTTATTGTCCAGTTCATATATTTCAAAATCATCGCCACACTCCAAACGTTGATGTAATTCCAATTGGACCAATTGAGCGTAATGCGTATTACATTTTATACAAGTAACCGGATCGGTTGGATTTTCAACGTTTGCAAAACGAAGAGGGTTCGTTATTTCCATAAAACGTTGAAAATTGCCAAGTACGTCTTCAAGTATAATAAAGCTGCGATTTTCTTTCACACCAATAGGCGACGTGAGATAAAAAGGTTCTGTGTGAACTTCCGCAGAGGTGTGGCACAATTTAAAGCAATATAAATCTATTGCTCTTAAGTTAAGCAATTGATTTCCATCCCCAGTTAATTTATAATGCTTATAAATGGAAGTTATTGCGTCAAGATCACAACTCTCTTTCTTCGGAAGTCCAGATTTCAGCCGTTCTGGATCGATATCATATGCTGCATTTTTAACGCGATACTTTAAAGGTAATGATAGTTTTTGCATGCAGTTTTTGGAAGTTGAACGATCCATTTTTATATTGATCTTTATACGTTGAACTTTAAAGTCACTCACATCGATATAACCTAATGAGCACATCAACATCTTCACCTTTTCCAATAGCAACATGAATAACATTTCAACGCTCTCGGGAATATCGAAATGGTGGTTAATATTTAACTCAGTACTTTCCACTACAAAATTGAAGGTGTCAATTTTAGCATAGAGTTCGCCTCTTAACTGAATTCTATTGGTTTTGACGAATAACAAGCGTAACATTGATGGAAGCGATTCAGTGGCTGCATTCAATAAAAACTCCTTATTTTCTAGACCGGCGTTGTCGTTACTCATCACTAATGTATCAATGCCTTTGTCTTCAATGATTTGTAATCTCTCCTTCTCCTCATCTGTCAGTCCTAGGTTGACTTGTTTGTTATTTCCATGATAATGTTTTCCATATGGATCCATGTGTTGACTGATATTGTATGAAGTTTGGCAATTAAATACTTCAACTGGATTAGTTTGCGAGCGATGATGTAATTCTGTAGTAAGTGGACTGTACCCACTATAAGTGAAACTCGGAATGTTTTCTTGAGAACCAATTTTGGAGTAAGCAAAATCCATTTTTTAACAATACTTTACAATTTAATATTAAATAAAAAGTTGAACTTGACAGTAATTGCTGTGAATATTAGATTTAAAGTGTTTCTCTAACGAATTTATCGCAGTGAATTTCAGATCTGGAATGATTGATGTTAGCAGTTTTTTGTTAGCTTATATATCTGTAGGATGTCATAAAATTCTAAATAAAGTTAGATCATTTTTACCTGTCTGATGAAACAACTATTTCTTTACTTCTAATAAATAGTAGATATTTTTAAAATGATGTGCGGTTAAATAAGTTATTGGCTACCTGTGTGCATTTCTAAGCTACTTAGTAACTGAAAAGTTATATAAAATATTTTGATAATTTTTATTATTCGTGTCCTGTGCCGCAGTGATCAATAATAAAATTATATTCCGTGAAAAGTTTTATTGAATTAACCTGTCTGATAAAATTAGGAGTACAGTAATGAAGGACTTATGAAATTCTGAGAACTCTGCAGTAATTACTTATATATTTTTAATAGTTCTTGTTTTGTTTTTGTATTCAGATTCCACGAATCTTCAAAAAAAATTTTATCGTTTAAGTTGAAATAAAATGGTGTATTTCAATTTCACTGATGAAATGGTTGACGACTTAAGGAACGTTAAAAATACTAGATTTGCTCAATGTAATATTCGGAATTTGGTATTAACAGGAAAATGATTAATATCCTTCAGAAAAGCTATGAAGGGACACCAGCAAGGTTTCCCATATGCAATAGTGGTGTGCGGCAAGGTTTTGCTATTTTCCCCCTATTGTTTAGATTACCTCCTGATACCATCCTGGAATCGGTCGAAAAAACGCCAGCAGACATTAATTGGAGATATAATCAAGAGCTTGGACATTTCTAGTGTGCTGATGACATAGTACTATAGGAAGTAGACAAACAGACATGCAAGCTTTGATAAATAATGTTTCCACGCAATTAACCAGAATAGGGCTTAATATCAATTTTTCGAAAACTAAATCAATGAGAGTCAAAGCAAATAATATATCAACTCTTTCACTAAATAGCCAAGATATCAAATGTGTTCAGAAGTTGAAATATTTTAAAAGTATGGTAAGCAGCGATGATTGATGTAGACAAGTGTTTAAAGAAAGCGAAAAGTATCTTTGCGATGTTAAGCAAGGTTTGGAAAGATAATAACGTGCATATCGAGACAAAGGTTAGAATTTTCAACACATGTGTGGAATCTAATTTGCTATATTACTGTGAGAAGTGGTCGGTAACTAGATCGTTGGTTCATAAGGTGTAATTAGAAATCTGCGACATATTATCTGCTTGAATTTTAAATGTAGATTATTGGGGCGTAGTACCAATCAGAAACCCATAGAAAAAAATTTTACAATGAAAATATGGATGGTTAGGTCACACATTGAGAAAACCGGATGCGATTGCTGATGTTACCATCGAATGGAACTCCAAAGGAGTGAGAAGACAGGTCCGTAATTCCGTTTAATCGCTCTAATGCAACTGTATTTTGGTTTCTTCTGAATAGCTTATCGTGGAGATGTGCAGATCTGAGGTCAGATCTGAGGTTTAGTCTGATGAAACAGCCAAGAGGGGTTATGAAGTAACCTCGCGTTGAGAGAGTGCTCAAATAGCCTCAACATAATCATAATGAAAAAAGTTATTTTCATATTTTTTGAAGCTAAAATAAAAATTTTTAGTTTTAAAGGTTATATCCAAAATTGATGATGATTCTTCTCATCAAACAAATTTTTCTAATACTCTTCGGGTTCGAGGTTTGGGGAGTAATTCCAAAATAGTTGTGATAGTAAAATGGTGATAAAATGGTGGATGATAACTCTGATATTAATATCATCCAACTTACTTTAGTGCAGTTGCTGACGAATAAGTTGGTAACAATTTTTTTTTCCATTTAAGCTTTTTCCATACAGATGATGTTATGTTTGGAGTGTCTTGAGATATTATAAAAATAATAAAAATAACTTTTGCATTTTAATGGTATTGTCACGGAATTGACATTGCCGGAATTGCGTTCACTTTTGAAATCTAGAAATGAAATGACCGTCGTTAAGACCGTCAGTATTCGTTGGAATTAGCACGATTTCATTCATTAAAACTATGAACTAAAACTATGAATCTTTCTTTTTCTATACTGACACAATAAAAATAAATATTTCCGATTTCAATAATTATTTAATTAATTAATTTAAAGTAATTACAATCAATCAAAATGTATTATAATATTTTGTTATATAGTCTACAATATTTTCGTGAATATACAATTTTTACTAATTAAACATTTTCATTATTCTTGACTCCGAACAGCATCCATTTCTCAAATGTAGTCTTAATTTCGAATTGATTAGGATCGCTCTCTTCATCATAGTTATTGTCCAGTTCATATATTTCAAAATCATCGCCACACTCCAAACGTTGATGTAATTCCAATTGGACCAATTGAGCGTAATGCGTATTACATTTTATACAAGTAACCGGATCGGTTGGATTTTCAACGTTTGCAAAACGAAGAGGGTTCGTTATTTCCATAAAACGTTGAAAATTGCCAAGTACGTCTTCAAGTATAATAAAGCTGCGATTTTCTTTCACATCAATAGGCGACGTGAGATAAAAAGGTTCTGTGTGAACTTCCGCAGAGGTGTGGCACAATTTAAAGCAATACAAATCTATTGCTCTTAAGTTAAGCAATTGATTTCCATCCCCAGTTAATTTATAATGCTTATAAATGGAAGTTATTGCGTCAAGATCACAACTCTCTTTCTTCGGAAGTCCAGATTTCAGCCGTTCTGGATCGATATCATATGCTGCATTTTTAACGCGATACTTTAAAGGTAATGATAGTTTTTGCATGCAGTTTTTGGAAGTTGAACGATCCATTTTTATATTGACCTTTATACGTTGAACTTTAAAGTCACTCACATCGATATAACCTAATGAGCACATCAACATCTTCACCTTTTCCAATAGCAACATGAATAACATTTCAACGCTCTCGGGAATATCGAAATGGTGGTTAATATTTAACTCAGTACTTTCCACTACAAAATTGAAGGTGTCAATTTTAGCATAGAGTTCGCCTCTTAACTGAATTCTATTGGTTTTGACGAATAACAAGCGTAACATTGATGGAAGCGATTCAGTGGCTGCATTCAATAAAAACTCCTTATTTTCTAGACCGGCGTTGTCATTACTCATCACTAATGTATCAATGCCTTTGTCTTCAATGATTTGTAATCTCTCCTTCTCCTCATCTGTCAGTCCTAGGTTGACTTGTTTGTTATTTCCATGATAATGTTTTCCATATGGATCCATGTGTTGACTGATATTGTAGGAAGTTTGGCAATTAAATACTTCAACTGGATTAGTTTGCGAGCGATGATGTAATTCTGTAGTAAGTGGACTGTACCCACTATAAGTGAAACTCGGAATGTTTTCTTGAGAACCAATTTTGGAATAAGCAAAATCCATTTTTTAACAATACTTTACAATTTAATATTAAATAAAAAGTTGAACTTGACAGTAATTGCTGTGAATATTAGATTTAAAGTGTTTCTCTAACGAATTTATCGCAGTGAATTTCAGATCTGGAATGATTGATGTTAGCAGTTTTTTGTTAGCTTATATATCTGTAGGATGTCATAAAATTCTAAATAAAGTTAGATCATTTTTACCTGTCTGATGAAACAACTATTTCTTTACTTCTAATAAATAGTAGATATTTTTAAAATGATGTGCGGTTAAATAAGTTATTGGCTACCTGTGTGTATTTCTAAGCTACTTAGTAACTGAAAAGTTATATAAAATATTTTGATAATTTTTATTATTCGTGTCCTGTGCCGCAGTGATCAATAATAAAATTATATTCCGTGAAAAGTTTTATTGAATTAACCTGTCTGATAAAATTAGGAGTACAGTAATGAAGGACTTATGAAATTCTGAGAACTCTGCAGTAATTACTTATATATTTTTAATAGTTCTTGTTTTGTTTTTGTATTCAGATTCCACGAATCTTCAAAAAAAATTTTATCGTTTAAGTTGAAATAAAATGGTGTATTTCAATTTCACTGATGAAATGGTTGACGACTTAAGGAACGTTAAAAATACTAGATTTGCTCAATGTAATATTCGGAATTTGGTATTAACAGGAAAATGATTAATATCCTTCAGAAAAGCTATGAAGGGACACCAGCAAGGTTTCCCATATGCAATAGTGGTGTGCGGCAAGGTTTTGCTATTTTCCCCCTATTGTTTAGATTACCTCCTGATACCATCCTGGAATCGGTCGAAAAAACGCCAGCAGACATTAATTGGAGATATAATCAAGAGCTTGGACATTTCTAGTGTGCTGATGACATAGTACTATAGGAAGTAGACAAACAGACATGCAAGCTTTGATAAATAATGTTTCCACGCAATTAACCAGAATAGGGCTTAATATCAATTTTTCGAAAACTAAATCAATGAGAGTCAAAGCAAATAATATATCAACTCTTTCACTAAATAGCCAAGATATCAAATGTGTTCAGAAGTTGAAATATTTTGAAAGTATGGTAAGCAGCGATGATTGATGTAGACAAGTGTTTAAAGAAAGCGAAAAGTATCTTTGCGATGTTAAGCAAGGTTTGGAAAGATAATAACGTGCATATCGAGACAAAGGTTAGAATTTTCAACATATGTGTGGAATCTAATTTGCTATATGACTGTGAGAAGTGGTCGGTAACTAGATCGTTGGTTCATAAGGTGTGAATAGTAATCTGCGACATATTATCTGCTAGAATTTTAAATGTAGATTATTGGGGCCAATCAGAAACCGATAGAAAAAAAATTTTACAATGCAAATATGGATGGTTTGGTCACACATTGAGAAAACCGGATGCGATTGCTGATGTTATCATGGAATGGAACTCCAAAGGAGTGAGAAGACAGGTCGAAAACTATTTGGCATAGGAAATTAGTTAATAAAACACAAAAAACGTATTTCTGGTACAAATAGGGACGAACGTAAAGAATTTGTATGAACTATTTGTGAATAGACTAAGTTCATGACTTATTTTGGAAATAATAATAATATAATAATATACGTACCTGCACAATTACTCAAAATTTTGTATAATACCATTTTATGCAGTAATATATTATTTTTCTATTTATAAATATTTAAAAAATATACAAAAGCATTTAAATTATTTTTAAAAATTCTTCGTATAAAAATGTTATCCTGATATTGTGTTTTCCCACTTGAGTCTGTCATAGGCCATTATACAATATTTAATACTAGATTCCGTTTTTGTATACAAAAAGTTGATCCTATTAAAATTAATGCTTTTAAAAATGTTTTCATAACATTTTTCGATTTAAAAACAAACCATCCTTCGCTTAAACTATTATGACTGCCATAAAAGTGAAATAAAATTTTGTATAAAAAATTTGATTTTTTCCGTCATACTAAAGTTATTCGATCGTTTTTTATATCTTATATATACATTTATTTTATTACTATTAATGTTTAAAAAAATTATGAATGCTATGTACTGCTTCTGTATTATATGTGAAATACCGAAACAGACATTCCTAACAGACAATTTTTACTGCTTTTGGAAAGGTCCTTGCTGAGCTTGAATGAATTTTTCACTGTGTATTTTAGTGAGTAACTGATTTAATATAATTATTAAAAAAAATTCAATATAAAATATTTGTGCCATAAAAATAAAATTAAGCTTTAAAAGCAAAAATAATTTCATGAAATAATTCACACGCATTTATAAATATCCTTCTCTTCCTTTTTTACTTCTTATTTTTTATTTTTGTGTTGTTTTGTTAATAAACTCATATGTATGCAATCCTTTTTCAGTTCTACTAAAATAAAAATTCATTATAATGGTGGGTTTGTTACTGATAACTCACATGAATTCCTTGTACTTTTCATGTCTGACGTGTGGGCGTATTACAGCGGCAAATTTATTCATCAGCCTTCCAGCATAGTTCACTCAATCTTCCGAGATGTGACTGGGTGACCATTATCAATCACTTTGACGCAAACGCACTTATGGGAAAAACGTTGTTAGCAAATTGCTCCTATACGAGATACTCGTATATATGCAAATACCATATATCTACAGTAGTGTATATCGGTATGTGTGCTTATTATTTTCGTATCCTTGTAAATTGGTGCAGTAAGGACCATTTTTTAAGTTGCATTGTGCGTAAATTCAGACAAAAATGACAGAAAATGCTTTCAAATTTTTTTGCTTTTATTCTAATAAATTTTTATCTTCCATCTTATGTACTTTATATAATAATTTTTTAAGTATATCTGAATGTATCTGTATGAGCTGTTTTATATTGTTACATTTTTATGATACTTTCTATTGTGTCTAAATGTCCTTTAGAATTTGGAAGCAGCTCATGTTAACAAAGATTTGTTAGTATTTTGAGTTTTTGTAAAGAAATTTATTTAATGTAACATAAAATATTCTGTAATGTCCTGTACCAGCTTGTATAGTTGTGATTGAGTATATAATACACAAGATTTAAAAATCAGGTTGGAAACGTTATTTGTTTTAGAAGGTTCGAATAGAAATAAAAAGACAACAACAAAAATTTAGTTGATTTACTGCAATTTGGCTGACTATACAACGCTGTTTCAAGTTTTGTTAAGTCAAGTACTATTATTATCATAAATTTACTCTTAACAAATGCAAATTCTGATATTCACATCATCACATCATCAGTGATCTTAAGAAATATTCGAATCTCTTATCAAACAAATTGTATTCAGACTGTAAATTAATTAAAAAATTCAAATATTTCCTAAGATCACTGATGATGTGATGATGTGAATATCAGAATTTGCATTTGTTAAGAGTAAATTTATATATATTTTTTTGAATATATACTTATATCATTCTAATCAAGTAAAGTAAATATAAAAAATAAATATTAGTAAATAAAGTGATAAAGTATATATCACTCTAATCAAGGTACAAAAAAACGTAAAGTTAGAAAATTGACAATTGTGACGTGACTCTCTGCATAACATATAACTGTCTCAATTGTCTATAATTTCTCTAATCCAGACCTTGATCAAGGTTTCAATTTTCTCACACCTAGTAAGGAAGTCTGGACACCAGTCAAAGTGGTCTTCTTTAACTTCTACATATACGGCTCCAAAATTGATATACGAATGGGCTGTGGTATATTTTCAAAAAAACTTTGTCTTAGCACTTCGCTTCGATCATCAAATCATTCACGCTGAAGTAATGGCAATCCACTATACTGTTATATGGGCCCTAGACAACCAAATCCCACTTCCAAATATCGCAATCTTTTTGGATAGTTAAGTTACCATTAAATAGTTACTATCGCCACATTTTAAATAAGTCGAAAATGTCGGGCATCCCTTAATGAGCTAGCTAGGCGTGTCAAACAAACTAAAATATCTAAGCTTTTCCAAGCAAGATTGAGCACATGAGCCCTCTTGCCAGATCTCTAAATTGACCTGGTCTAAGCTAGATGAAAAACGCACCAGTCAGCTGCTTCCAATAAAACGTAATGTGCTTAGTACTACGGTATTGGTGTTGATGGGTCAATGCGTAATAAGAAGACAAGCTATGCAACTGGGCGTACAATGACATCTTATAATGACTTATGTAGAGGTTATGGTTCTGAGAATGACCATGAAGCTGTGTTATATCTCATGTGTCAGTTTTGATCCTTAGTGAGAAGAAGATCTGAAATCTTTGGTGCCCCTTACCTGACCGACCTAACAGAGCTGTCGTCCTGCATAATTAGGGACTTAGTCAAGTTCACTTTTATCTCGTTGGGGTGTCGTGTCTTTCGGCGTTACCGACTAGAGGCCAGCGCACGTACAAACAGTAAACCCATAGTACTACAACGAGCCACCATTCCAACTTTAGCTAACATCTGTACAACATAACCAAAAACGGCATCAAAGAGCCATCATGGTCCTAAGAAAAAATTTATGCAATTATATTAACTTATTTTTTTCACCTTTTTTTTTTATTAATTTTAACAATAATAACAATAAATAATTGCTTAAATTAAGTAAATGGAGGAAATTGTACAACAACAATATGGGTAGTTTATACTTACGTATGTTATAAAGTAGTTGGAAGAAAATTTTTATCTCATAAATTGAAGCAACTTTCTTTTCCTCGAAGGGCAGTAAAATTTTCCATAGCCTTCGTTTGGAAGTTAATTGTATGCGAAAGGGTAATCAATTGGAGAATTGTACCAATTAACACGTTTTGCAAAATATTTGCACTAATTTACAGGACATTTACAGCAGGATGGTCGTAAATTGTAACAAAGTTGGCAGTTTGGTTCATTGTAAATCAATGAAGTCTCTCACTAGCTGGAGTAGTTGCTTATGGCCATGACCTGGTAAACAGCACAATTGTTTGGTTAAAATGTTTACCACAGTGTTCAAGTATGTAAGAACAAATTAA